GGTGAGATGAGTACTGTGAAAGTGGTCGAATATGACATACGTTGGTGTCATGGTTGGTTGAAGTCAGAAGTCAACTGCCGATTAATAGACTTTTTTGCCATATGAGTATACATTGCCCTGGGTGCACCACGTGGAGGTAAGTCTATCGCATCCCCCACACAAATATACCTTTGTCTAACTATCTGCAGACAGTCACAACGAATCTCAATTCGAGATCGCAAACATAAATCGACACTCCTTACACTAACTATTCTACGTTCAAGTTGGTGAGAACACAGAACGTATGGCTCTATGAATCATTGGCCACCCAATCAATTATCAAATACACTTACCTTGAAAGAATATTGATCGACGATTAGAAGATAGAGCATCTGTTCACACGACGCTTTCCTCACTTTCCTGAATATTTTAACACGCGAGGTTTCTTTGAACAGTCTCGATAACATTGCATTTTCCACGAACTAATGGAGTACATTCAAGGATATTATTGGATTTCCTCATTAGGTTGCCTTAGACAACTGATTTTGTTGAAATAAGCAACCAAATAGCAAGTGTTCGTAGTTGGTCTTAGCTCTTCCATTATAGAAAAGCACGAAGCTTTTACGCCCTGCTTCAAGGCAAACTGGGCCTACAAAATCAACGCAACCCAATGTGTCTCGAATTCACTTCTAGTTGATGCACAAGTGCGTTAAGAAGTTGCGTATCTCAAAGACTTTTCAATGTTTATCAACTTACCTGTACTGAGCTTCCCTTTTTCAGCTAAATTAGCACAAGTATGTGGGACACGTTATCGCTCTGTGCGTCATCGTATGCCTGCATGTCTGCTCGCCAGGATTGGGAGGTGCGGCCGTACAGCTCTGTGTGTAGCGACCGTACAAACAGTGACCAATCATTAACCTCTGTTTAACCTAATCCCCCATCCTGATCATGAGTAGCTCCCTGTGTGTACTCTTGATCCGCAATACCCGTACTGAATAAACGTGCTCCGTGCTACACGTCTGTTTCCTTTATAGCTGGGCTATAGCTTAGCTGGTTCTGGGAGTCTAGCTAGATGTAGGAGGATCTGCCATAGAGATTTCTGAGTCAGCCAGGCTTTAATAAAGTAGCAATCCGCTACAAGTAGTTTTTTTATGAATGTGTTGCCGTACAATCACCCAAGAAGAAGATTAAAGCCAGAAGCAATAAAAGCCATTCGCTATGAAGGAAGTGAATGGAGCCAATGTGGTTAACTGAGTCACGTTTTTTAAATGCTCTAAACTTCTTCTACACGAACTTCGATCACACGATAATTGCCAGTAAATGACTATATTTCTGGGAAATTTGCAGGATATTTGAACATTTTGGAGGTCAGTTAACCCGAAATCTCTTGAAACAATTTTCTGAAAACTAAATGACTTTCAATTTTTCGTACTAGATAGAGGCCTTCAGTTTCATAAATTTCCCAATTTTGGGAAATTTTCGAGATATTTGGAAATAATTTTTTTGTTTTCTTACTTATTAAATTTGTCCTAAAGCTCATTATGGATAATTTACTTTGCAATGCAGGAAATTTGCATGTTTTTTTAACTGCTATCAGCAACTGAAATCACTTGATGCAAAATTCCAAAGCTGCTTGAAGCCAACGACATATATCATTAGATTTGATTTAATTGTATAATATTGGTCCTACAATGGATTCCTGGTCACTGTGGCATTAAAGACACTGGTCCTACAATGGATTCCTGGTCACTGTGGCATTGAAGGCGCCTCTCTCTACCCATGAATCCATTATCAGACATTGATATAATGGATTCCTGGTCACTATGGCATTAAAGGCAATGAGATTTCTGACACACTTGCTAAGAAGGGGACACCGATTTTGCAATGCATGGACCGCCTGGTAAGAAGGGGATAACGATTTTGCAATGCATGGACCGGCCGATGTATTTCCCCACAATGAAGGCCTTTATCAGGAGAGAATTCAAGACCTCAAGGTGCAAAGAACTTAAAGCTCGAACAAAGGAGAAACAGTGGACAGTGGCACTAACAAAGGAGAAACAGTGGACAGTGGCAACTCCGACATACCCGACTGGCGAGAATCGAAGCCGTTGCTGAGTTTAGACTACGTATCGGACAGTCCACACAATGAAGGCCTTAATCAGGAGAGAATTCATGTAATGAAGGCCTTAATCAGGAGAGAATTCCAGACCATACCAACGAACTCAAAGCTCGAACAAAGGAGAAACAGTGGACAGTGGAAACTAATCAGAAGAGAGTTCAAGACCTCAAGGTGCAACGAACTTGAGCTCGAACAAATGAGAAACAGTGGACAGTGGCACTCTCCCGATCAGAAGAGAATTCAAGATCTCAAGGTGCAACGAACTTAAACCTCGAACAAAAGAGAAACAGTGGACAGTGGCACTCTCCGACATAGCCGACTACGAGAATCGAAGCCGTTGCTGAGTTTAGACTACGTATCGGACAGTCCACACAATGAAGGCCTTAATCAGGAGAGAATTCATGTGTGCAACGAAATTAAAGCTCGAAAAGAGAATTTCAGACCTCAAGATGCAACGAACTCAAAGCTCGAACAAAGGAGAAATAGTGGACAACAAAGGAGAAACAGTGGACAGTGGAAACAAAGGGGAAACAGTGGACAGTGGCACTCTCCCGACATACAGGAGAAATAGTGGACAGTGGCACTCTCCGACATACCCGGCTGGCGAGAATCGAAGCCGTTGCTGAGTTTAGACTACGTATCGGACAGTCCACACAATGAAGGCCTTAATCAGGAGAGAATTCATGTAATGAAGGCCTTAATCAGGAGAGAATTCCAGACCATACCAACGAACTCAAAGCTCGAACAAAGGAGAAACAGTGGACAGTGGAAACTAAAGAACAAAGGAGAAACAGTGGACAGTGACACTAAGCTCGTACAAAGGAGAAACAGTGGACAGTGGCACTCTCCCGATCAGAAGAGAATTCAAGATCTCAAGGTGCAACGAACTTAAACCTCGAACAAAAGAGAAACAGTGGACAGTGGCACTCTCCGACATAGCCGACTACGAGAATCGAAGCCGTTGCTGAGTTTAGACTACGTATCGGACAGTCCACACAATGAAGGCCTTAATCAGGAGAGAATTCATGTGTGCAACGAAATTAAAGCTCGAAACCGGCCGATGTCTTTCCACACAATGAAGGCCTTGATCAGAAGAGAATTTCAGACCTCAAGATGCAACGAACTCAAAGCTCGAACAAAGGAGAAATAGTGGACGTGCAACGAAATTAAAGCTCGAAAGAATTCCAGACCTCAAGGTGCAACGAACTTAAAGCTCGATCAAAGGAGAAACAGTGGACAGTGGCACTAACAAAGGAGAAACAGTGGACAGTGGCAACTCCGACATACCCGACTGGCGAGAATCGAAGCCGTTGCTGAGTTTAGACTACGTATCGGACAGTCCACACAATGAAGGCCTTAATCAGGAGAGAATTCATGTAATGAAGGCCTTAATCAGGAGAGAATTCCAGACCATACCAACGAACTCAAAGCTCGAACAAAAGAGAAACAGTGGACAGTGGCACTCTCCGACATAGCCGACTAGCCAAGAATCAGAAACAGTGGACAGTGGCACTCTTCGATATAGCTAGGAGAAATAGTGGACAGTGGCACTCTCCGACATACCCGGCTGGCGAGAATCGAAGCCGTTGCTGAGTTTAGACTACGTATCGGACAGTCCACACAATGAAGGCCTTAATCAGGAGAGAATTCATGTAACAAAAGAGAAACAGTGGACAGTGGCACTCTCCGACATAGCCGACTAGCCAAGAATCGAAGCCGTTGCTGAGTTTAGACTACGTACCTGACACGGAGCCGTTGCTGAGTTTAGACTACGTACTGGACAACCGTTGATGAGTTTAGACTACGTACCGAACACGATTGCCTATAAACACCTTCACAGATTGGGAGTATACACTCAACTCACATGTACACCTTCACAGATTGGGAGTATACACTCAACCCACATGGACCTTCACAGATTGGGAGTATACACTCAACCCACATGCCCCCTTCACAGATTGGGAGTATACACTCAACCCATATGCCCTTCGTAACCTACAGGAGGAAATGGAGAAGACCCACCTGACTCGGTAACCTACAGGAGGAAATGGAGAAGACCCACCTGATTCGGTATATTGGGAGAATACACTCAACCCACATGCCCTCTATGTAGCCTTCACTCAACCCACATGCCCTCTATGTAACCTACAGGAGGAAACGGCTCAACATGCCCCCTATGTAACCGGGGAGTATACACTCAACCCACATGCCCTCTATGTAACGTAGGAGGAAATGGAGAAGACCCACCTGATTCGATGTCCAGCCCTAAAGACAACGACGGAAAGCCAGAGATACTGGGAACCCAGAAGACAGCTGATGAACTGCTATTAATCAACTGCTATAAATGTACCCCCCACCCTTGGGGGAAGCTGAAGTCAAACTTTAAGGGCTAATGATAAATATAACAAAGCCTGCCATTTGAAAAAATATTTACTTAATGGAAAACCAACACTACCCAAATCTAAATGTCATTATTTGCATTCTGGCCTAAAGATTAAATTAGTATTAAAAATTCTTGCGCATATCAGCCAGTGGCTAAAGAGAATGCCTTAGTCATTTGGGTTAAACGTAGATAGAGCCTCTAACGAAGTCTAGAGGTGATCTAAGTATATTAATAAAATGTTTAAATAAGTATTCAAATTTTAATATATGTATAATTAACATCTGTCAGTAAATGGCACATAGTACATTAATGACATATATATATATATTGTCAAATCGGGGTGCGGTAGACCTACCTCCACGTGGTGTACCCCAGGCAACGTATTCTCATACGGCAAAGAAGTCTATAAATGGGCAGTTGACATCTGATTTCAAATTGCCATGACTCCACTTTATGTCATATTCGACCACTTCCACAGTACTAATCTTACCTTTTCTCTGTCTTTGTGTCTGTCTGTCTGTCTCTTTAACACCTTTGAATCACTCTTCTGCTCTCCCTCTCCACTCCTTCCCACTTTGATATTCCTCCCCTCTGTAAAGCCAGAAGTCAGCTAAGGGGCTAATGATAAGTGTCATAGAGCCCACCATTTGAAATAAATATAAATATAGTGAGATCTATTTGACTTTATGGGAGGAATGAGATGAATGCTTATCATAAGAAGAATAGTGAATAATATTTCAATTTGTCTCCACGTGGTGCACCCTGGGCAACGTATACTCATGCGGCAAAAATGTCTATTAATCGGGAGTTGACTTCTCACTTCATACAACCATCACCCCCCCCCCCCCTGTATGTCATATTCGACCCCTATCACAGTACTCACCTTACCCTTTTTGAGCCTTTGTGTCTGTTTCTTTTACATCTTTGAAACACCCTTCTATTCCCGCTCCTGAATTCTTCTCACTTTGATGTTCCTCCTCCCCTCTGTGAAGCCCGAAGTCAACTAAAGGGCTAATGACAACTATCAAAACGCCTGCCATTTGTTATAAATAAAAAATATTTCAATTTGTAAAGGGGGGAGGGGGCTTTATAATTAGTAGTTTTTAAGTATAAGAAGTAATTTGCCCACTTGATATCGGGAATTTTGACAGAGTAGGAATCTGGGAGAAAATATTTTCAATTATGAAATATAAGCTTCACAAAAATATGAATAAGTGATCATAGGAGACCCAGTTAAACATACAGTTGGGGGTAATTTAATTGATTTAGAACACTTTACTAAGTAAACTACACGTGGGCCCAGCTGAGGAGCATGTCTAAAAAGAGTTGAATTTGAGGGCCCACAATTTGGGGTAGGGGAGGACTATTTGTGTAACTCAGACAAAGATCAGTTGAGTCGGGATGTGATAAAACGTGAATATGTATTGGTGTTAAAATATTTTATTTTATATCAAATGGCAGGCGTTTTGAGAGTTATCATTAACCCTTTAGTTGACTTCAGGCTTCACAGAGGGGAAGGAACATCAGAATGAAAAAATTAAAGGCGGGGGGGGGGTAAACAGAAGAGTTTCAAAGATGTAAAAGAGACAGACATAAAGGTAGAAAAAAGGTGGGGTGAGAACTGGGGAAGTAGTAGAATTTGACATACAGTGAGGCCATGGTAGTTTGAAGTCAACTGCCGGTTAATAGACCTTTATGCCGCATGAGTATACGTTGCCCAGGGTGCACCACGTGGAAGTAGGTCTATCGCACACTCCG